CCTGTCTATGACATCACTTGCTGCTACAGCCTGGCACAGGTCAGAGTATTTTGGCGGTTGCCATCTTCAAACGGTCGTATTTTAAAAACTATAAATCCTACAGCGAAGAGCTTTATATTGTGAGAATCACAAGACCCAGACCTACATTTGATGATGCATAGTATGTCTCTGAAGTATTAAAAATGAAGGCACAGTCGCAGTTTAGAAATTGCACTTCAAATTTGAGCTTTGTAGAGTGAAGTTTCAATGAATGTCAATGGACTGCGTTAGTTGCAAACAAATGATTATATTGTGAAAACTATCAGGACTATGGCTTAGCCGTTGACATGTTTAGTGGCAGCAGGGATAGCTGAACGTTTTGATATAAGATTTGTAGGTGGGCCTGAAAATAAGGGAGTGGTGGCAGTTTAGAAATCATGTCCTGATTTTTCAGCTTTTGCCAGCTCCCACTCTAGCTTTGCCATTCATTCCTATGGGACAAATTTGGCCACAAGAACGACGATATTCCGGGAACCATTCGGCGAAATGTTCCACAAAGTAATAGCAATCCGATCGGGAACAATCTGCACGTTTTGGTAATTTTTGTCTATGTAGTGTAAAAACTGTGGGAGGAGTTAGGGTGGCAAATTTGGCTATAATAAGAATAATAACTTCGAAAAGTTACAATTCAAATTGTGAAGTATTCTTGCCTCCACCTGTAGTCTACAACTGGGTGGTAGGAGTAACTGTTATCTTTGCTAGCACATTTAATTGCAAGGTTGTTGCACAGTTATATTAAACCATACATTTATAAAAACATTAGCAGGTGTTCAAAAGGCCCTGTCTATGACATCACTTGCTGCTGCAGCCTGACACAGGTCAGAGTATTTTGGCTGTTGCCATCTTCAAGCAGTCGTATCTTAAAAACTATAACTCCTACAGTGAAGAGCTTTATATTGTGAGAATCACAAGACCCAGACCTACATTTTGATGCATAGTATGTCTCTGAAGTATTAAAACTGAAGGCACAGTCGCAGTTTAGAAATTGCACTTCAAATTTGAGCTTTGCAGAGTGAAGTTTCAATGAGTGTCAATGGACGGCGTTGGTTGCAAACAAATGGTCATATTGTGAAAACTATCAGGACTACGGCTTAACCGTTGACATGTTTAGTGGCAGCAGGGATAGCTGAACGTTTTGATATAAGATTTGTGTAGGTGGGCTTGAAAATGAGGGAGTGGTGGCAGTTTAAAAATCATGTCCTGATTTTTCAGCTTTTGGCAGCTCCCACTCTAGCTTTGCCATTCATTCCTATGGGACAAATTGCGCCACAAAAACGATGATATTCCGTGAACCATTAAAATGGCTTGTTCACAAAGTAATAGCAATCCGATCGGGGAACAATCTGCACGTTTTGGTAAATTTTGTCTATGTAGTGTAAAACTGTGGGAGGTTAAATTTGTAGAGTACACTTTATAAGAATAAGAATAATAATAATAACTAGAAAAGCTACAATTTCTGTGGAAATTGTGTGAAGTGTTCTTGCCTCCACCAGTAGTCTACAACTGGAGTGGGCGGAGTAACTGTTATCATTTACATAGCACATTTAATTGCAACGTTGTTACACAGTTACATTAAACCATACATTTATAAAAACATTAGCAGGTGTTCAAAAGGCCTTGTCTATGACATCACTTGCTGCTGCAGCTTGACACAGGTCAGAGTATTTTGGTGGGTGCCATCTTCAAACGGTCATATCTTAAAAACTATAACTCCTACAGTGAAGAGCTTTATATTGTGAGAATCACAAGACCCAGACCTACATTTTGATGCATAGTATGTCTCTGAAGTATTAAAATTGAAGGCACAGTCGCAGTTTAGAAATTGCACTTCAAATTTGAGCTTTGCAGAGTGAAGTTTCAATGAATGTCAATGGACGGCGTTGGTTGCAAACAAATGGTCATATTGTGAAAACTATCAGGACTACGGCTTAGCCGTTGACATGTTTAGTGGCAGCAGGGATAGCTGAACGTTTTGATATAAGATTTGTGTAGGTGGGCCTGAAAATAAGGGAGTGGTGGCAGTTTAGAAATCATGTCCTGATTTTTCAGCTTTTGCCAGCTCCCACTCTAGCTTTGCCATTCATTCCTATGGGACAAATTTCGCCACAAGAACGACGATATTCCGTGAACCATTCGGCGAAACGTTCCACAAAGTAATAGCAATCCGATCGGGAACAATCTGCACGTTTTGGTAAATTTTTGTCTATGTAGTGTAAAAACTGTGGGAGGAGTTAGGGTGGCAAATTTTGCTATAATAAGAATAATAATAATATAATAATAATAATAATAATATATATGTGAGATAACATTAAGTGGTCTTGCTATGCAAGAACACTTAATAATATATATGTGAGATAACATTAAGTGGTCTTGCTATGCAAGAACACTTAATAATAATATATATGTGAGATAACATTAAGTGGTCTTGCTATGCAAGAACACTTAATAATATATATGTGAGATAACATTAAGTGGTCTTGCTATGCAAGAACACTTAAATATATGTGAGATAACATTAAGTGGTCTTGCTATGCAAGAACACTTAATTAGTGAAAAATCATAGATACAGACATTAGTTCATTCGTATGAAAGAACGGTATAGTAGGTTACAATATGGTGCAAGGCGAAAGGGGGATTAAAAGTGAGACATGCGGGCTAGCATTCGACTGAAACATAAACAAAATGGTAGAACTGCATGCATACATAATGTCTGCGGTCGGTTGGTGACCGCACGAATGACTGAACGAACGTAAGTATACCCAGCAGTGGTCGACTGATTAGCCGCACGAACCACGGAAGTGCACAAACGGGTAAGAATGCACGAATAGGTATGTATAGTGAAGGGAGCCTACCCCCACATTTTTAGGCACGAACATGGTAAATAGCCAAATGCTATTTCCCACGTGATGCTTACGTGGACATGCTGTCTCGTGGTCGGAAGCAGAGTACCATGACTGTGGAGAAGCAGGGTGGTGGGACCGGAGGTCGGAGGCAGAGAATACTGCTGGCGACAGGACTCTGCTGGTGTCGGACCGGAAGTGCTGGTTGCTAAGGTGAGTCAATCAACGTGGACGGCAGAGGTGAGTACGGGCTGGGAGTTTAAGTAGGGGCCATAACTCCTCCCACAAATTCAGGCCTAATGGCCTTTTAACATATATATAAAAAATAAAAAAAATGGGCTGCACTCACCCTAGAAAAGTATTCCTTTATTCAAACATATAGATTGACGTTTCAGTCCACTCAGGGACTTTCCTCAGGATCAAATCATACAATACTAATAAAACAGTAGCAGAATATATAACAATGGTAATTAGAATAAGTGACTTACTCCAGGTGAATGGTGTTGCTCCCGGCGTGTCTATGTGCTCACCGCACATGCTCGTGAGGCCACGCGGCAGTCACGTAAGGACATCACCGTAGTAATGGCGATGCGGCAATCATCTAAAATGTGATACACAGTGATCGTGGTGCAAACCAAAACATGTGAAAGATGATGAATTTGCTATCTAATCTAAATATTAGATTAGCCGTCAATCAGATCTAGAAGTAGATATTTGCTATTATACAGTTATACGTAATGATAGATGTGGCATTCTTAAATAAGTGTTATTATCTTTTACTTAAAGTGCACCCAATCTAGTTATAGGGTAACAAGGAAAGTGCTGTTATTAAGATGCACTGTATTATAAAGTGATGTCACTCGTTTGTACACCGTAATAGAACATCATAAAGGAATGGAAGCAGTTGAATTTTATTTAAAACAATGTAATTAATGTACAGATTGATTTTATCATCAAAGGAATAGAGACAATTTAAATCAATAATTATTTTTGGTTTGATGATGATTTTTACCTTCAGACTCGAGGTACTGCTATGGGGACCAGGTTTGCCCCCAGCTATGCCAATCTTTTTATGTCCTATTGGGAAAGATTTCTTTATTTACCCAGGGCTGCCACCTGAAATTTTGGGGCACCTAACTCAGCTCAGGGTCTGGTCCCCACCTCCAAATACCGCCCACTGGGTCCGCCTCCAAATACCGCCCACAGGAATACACACACAGATTCAAAAACATAAGCCATAAGCCCACGCCCGCCGGAGTCATGACGGACGCAACCGGAAGTAACTAGCACACGTGACAATTCGCAATATGGTTTAGATGCGCTGCCATGTTGGGAAGGTCGAGCACATCCTCATAGAAGACATAACCTCGTCGGCCATGTTGGGTGAGGCAGAACCGCCCAGAAAACGATCCGGAAACGCACCATATATGGGAAAGGGGCAAAGGGGCTACTTAATGAATTATCACCTGCTAATTGTTTTAATTGCCTATAATTATTATGTATGATATATAAGAGCTTTTGCTCACATGCTACACTACATGCACCTAAGGAAGACCTATTTTACAAGGTCAAAAAGTGTTGTGCTTTTTTACTTTATTTTATATTGTCAAATAAAAAGCATTTACCTTTTATTTACCTGGTTCCTGATTTACCACAAAGAGGACTTCTAATACCTTCTGGGGGACCAGACCATATATCTACATATACACATCTGATTGATGTACCTGCTGTTACAGTTTAGAGCCAACTCATAAAGGCTCTAAATATTGTGAGTGTTCCAAGTTTTTTACTGTAAATATTGTATTAATACATATTGCCCTATGTTGGTTTCTTATACCTACAGAACTTAGGGACCATACACTAAAAACAAGAATATCATCTACCAATGTGTGCACAATCACCTTATCTCCAGTTAAAGTCTCACAGATTGTAATAGTTTTATTCAACCCCTTAGTGACCAGACCGTTTTAAAATGTTCTTACCGTTAAGGACCAGGGCTGTTTTACATTTCTGCGGTGTTTGTGTTTAGCTGTAATTTTCCTCTTACTGATTTAGTGTACCCATATTATATACCATTTTTCTCGCCATTAACCCCTTAAGGACACAGCTTCAGAAGCTGGACATACCCTTAAGGACACAAGCAATTTTTGCATTTTTTGCTGTTTGTGTTCAACTGCAATTTGCATCTCTCTCATTTATTGTACCAACACATATTATATACTGATTTTTAGACAACAAAAAGGGCTTTAATTTGATGTGACATATACATATATAAATTCTCATTTATTACAAAAAAATGCAAAATAATGGGGAAAAAAACAAGAAAAATGCTTCCCCCGCCCCAAATTTTCTCAATAATAATGTGTGCATAATATGTTCAGTTTAGGAAAAGTAATTCAAAATCAATTCATTTATGTGTCTTGATTTACAAAGTACATAATATGTGAGGATTTCAGTTTATTTTGAAAGTTACAGGTCACAAACTACAAGGTCTAAAATAAAATTTCAATGTGAAACAATTTTAGAAGTTGGTATGTTTGTCTTGGAAGTTTAATACTGTCACGGGTGGCGGTACAGAAACCGGGACCCCTGAGTGCCTGATGAGAAGTGAGAGTCTTCAGCGGGGAAATGGACTATCAGGGCCACATACCAGAACCCTGATGCAGCTACAGCGGATCTCAGGAACTAGAAGATATGCAGACCTCCCAGGAACTGGATGGGGGGGCTCTGCAGCAGACATGTACACAGTACAGAAACAAGGCAAGGCTAGGATATTCACCAAACATGAAAACAAGACAGAACTAATAGAACCCAGAACCAGAGCAGGACAGAAAGCAGAACCCAGAACATGTACACAAGACATGAGGAAAACAAGAACAGGGCAGGACAGGACTGTACATGAACTGGGATTACAAAATAAAACAAGACAAGATATAATAGGCAAAACAAGAGGATACATAACTAAACGCTATATATGAAAAGTATGGGGATTTAGTTACATTATATAATCATACATTGCATAAGCCTGCCACAACGCCAATGTACCCCATATTCGGCAGATCCTACACTGCCTAATGTTTGCTAAAAGAACCATACCAAACCACAATAGCACTTACCTGCAAGAAAGGGCAGAGACTTGAAACACTGCTGCAGGTCCAGACTGAAACAAAAGGAAAATGGAAAACAAACGGGTGTGGCAACATAAAACTAAACAAGAAATGTAAAAAGAGTACTGGATACCAGAAACCAAAGCCAGACATCTCCGCAGAACATGTCATGATGTGACAAATACCAATTACAGGAAACAAAATTGCCACACAAAAGTATATATTTATATGAAGTAGATGTCACAGGCTATTTACCTAAGGTTATTTTGACACTTTTTACGTGACCATTTCACCGCCAATCTGCTAAATATTGGAGTAAAATAGTTTTTTCTCTATTTTGGCATATACACATATAACAAGGTTTTTGTAATGTGTATTTCTTAACCTAGTATGTGCTATCCCTGTACAGAACCCCATATTGTGTTCAGCTACATCTGCTGAGTACAACAATACCCCCATTGTATACCTTTGCCCCTATTCTGTGAAGCTACAATGCCATATAGGAGACCATGTTATTTCAGTTTCTATAGTTGGAATTTTCATAGATGGTAATATGTCTGATTTTGTGGCATTATAGGCATTTGACTGTTCAAATAACCCCACAAAGGCCTTCCATTTGAGAAAGTAGACACTCCAGGGTATCTTATTAGGCATGTATTATACCTTAACTTGCCACCATTTTATCACCAATTTATTTCAAATTTTGTGGTGAGAAAAATAAATAAAAATTTTTTAGATACATGTTGCATTTTCGCTGGGTATTTCTTACATTTAATAAGTGCCACTCTCATAAAGTAGACACTCCAGGGTATCTTATTAGGCATGTATTATACCTTAACTTGCCACCATTTTATCACCAATTTATTTCAAATTTTGTGGTGAGAAAAATAAATAAAACATTTTTAGATACATGTTGCATTTTCGCTGGGTATTTCTTACATTTAATAAGTGCCACTCTCATAAATTCCCCCTAAGTATGCTCAGTTACCTCTTCTGAGTAAAACAATAAGCCCCATGTATGACCTAGACACTATTTTGTGAAGTTACAGTGCTGTGAAAGAGACGTGACAAGTTCAGGTTTTTAAGTGTGAATTTACATGGAGAGTTTTAATAGGGCTGTATTCTATTTTTAAATATGTTAGCAGGCTGCTTTTTCCAACTACCCCAAAAAGGCATACTATTTTTTAAAGAAGACGCCCGAGGGTATTTCAAAAGGCAAATTTTGAACCTTAGCGTGGGATCATTTTTCCGTTAGCTTGTATCAAGTGTAGTGGTAATAAGCATTTTTTTCTGCCTTTTTGACACAGTGAGTTTGTACTGTATATTTTGCAAACCTTATGTGTGCTACGGCTTTATAATACTTTATATGTTGCTCAGCTATGTTTTAAGAGTACAGCAATACCCCCGTATGTACCTTTGCCAGGTATATGTGGACGTTGAAGGGGCACATTTCAGACACAGCCATTACAGGTTTTTTCAATTTTTAATAAATCGATGCGGTATCGTTGGGGAGCAGACGGAGCACTGATTGTGACAAAAGGAGAAACGACCGCCATACTTACCTCAGCCGATGACCCTGAGATGTGGCTCCAGAGCCGAGAAAAGGAAGACACACCGGCCAAAGCGAGCACGAACAGCCACACCGTGGAGGAGAAGCGGAGCACTGGGGAAGGCAAACCACGGACCGTGCCTAAGATACACAGACTAGGAGTCCGCAAATTGTGAACGCTGATAAACCACACTCTAACACAACTCAGTGGCACGGGACAGCTAAGATACAAGCAAACTTCCCAGTGCTACAGCAACACCCCATTTAAATGCCCACACACATACTCACATACTCACTAGCTTACCACGAGGCCACACAGTGAGACATACATCTCCAGGAGGCAGCCTGAGGGAAGGCACATCCCGACAAAAGTTACCCGCTGAACTAACACCTTACTCTAGCTGACACAGAATGCACAGACTTAGAATCTACACATATGCCAGTTAGGCTAATATGATCCCATGTTATTTGAAATATGTCTTATCCACTGCTGTTATTTTGATAACTTGAAAAACTGATACTCTGGTGTGAATATCTGCTACTTTGCATGAAATTCAATTAAAATACAATTTAAAAAAAAAGTTTTATTTAACTTTTAACAACTTATTTTACTATTTTAAAACCTTGTTTAAACTTTTAAAAATATTTTTTTCACTTTTTATTGTTTTTTTAACTTTTAACCCCTAACTAGCCTAACAGTAAATTCCCCAATTTCCCCACTAACATCCACCCTAGCTAAATAAATATTTTACAATATTTAAATTAATTAAATAAATTACACCCCTGAGGATTTAAAAAAAAAAATAAAAGTTAACCTGTTATGGACAGATGAATTAAAATAAAATGGCTATTTACTAATGTCTATTTATTCTCTGTTCACTATGTTAAAACTGGCTTCTAGAGTAAATATTCCCTTCCCCCCCTACAATGTGGTCAGCTGCTGTTTACTATGTAAATTCCTCACATCCTGCTAGCCTCCCCTCCCCCACTACCTTTGTGCCAGTTAACAGCTATATGCCATATATAGCTAAATGGAGGATCATTGGTTTAGAACTGATAGATACCACTCACTCCCCCTCCCATCGTGTATCCAAAAGTCTGTAATGATGACACTACATTCTGTAGGGGGGTTTAAACAAGAGCCCCCTTTCTCTGTTAACCAATTGGTGAATGTATACTGTATGTTTAAACTGTGACGTATTTTTGCTTTAAGAAGGAGCCCCCACTCCGGGGAATAAAGCATTCCTGGGTTTTTCACTGATCAGAAACTTTGTCTCCGGTGTGAATTACTTCTAGGGAAAGCGTGCACGCATTAATTAATCAATTTGGAAGGTGTAGATAGACAAATAATCAAAGTTTTCTTTGATCCAAAACAATTTGGTGGAGAATGCGGGCATTTAAGGGATACGTTACTAAGGCAGCCGTCAGATCCCAAGACAGGAGAGCAAAGGATTCCCAGAGATTGGAAACGGAGCCTGATCACCTCTGCATATGGTAAATGAGTTACTTACCTATATTTTCCTTTCTTTGGATTTCTCTTGTTCTCCGTGCCTTCACATTCGGCTTCCGGTGTTTAACGTCTTCAGACAGGTAATATATATATGCCCGAATGTCCCCTTTTATATAGAACCTGTCACTTGTCTATCTACAGCCTGAGTCCTGAGTGAGAGTTTTATGTGTGAAAGTGTCTGTTTGAGAATCTGTTTTACTACTTGCTTAATACTGTTATATAATGCTGCCAAGTGTGGTTAAGCACTTGCAGGTTTAGCCAAGTTCGGGTTTGGTGGAAAACCCCTGGCTCTATATTTTTTTTTGCTAAGCTTCGGTAAAGAAGTTATTGCGAGACTCGGTCAAGAGTTTAAAAATAAATAAATAAAATAATAAAAAAAATAAATAAATAAATAAATTATTTTAGCTAAGCTTTGGTAAAGAAGCTAGTGAGTGATGTTTTGGCCTCGTTTGGTAAAAAACCTGGCGGTTCGTTTGTTTTATTAAGACTCGGTCAAGAGTTTAAATAGCTAAGCTTCGGTAAAGGAGCGGTTTATGTGCTTGAGTGTTTCTGTGTGTGTGATTTGATTTATTATAAGCCGGCATTTATTTTAAGAACTTTGTGATTTAATTACATCTGTATTTTGTGCTTTTGTCTGTGTATGTCTTGTTGGGTACCATATATGTTAATTGTAATCTATACAATTTGTATCGTTACTCTCCTATTCTATCTTTTGTCCTAAGGAGAGCTGTGCTTAGGCAATCACATGGTTAAAAAACTTTGTGCTTGCAAGTCTTCCTCCCTCCTCCCCCCTCCTTCTTTGTTGCTTTCTCTTGCTCTGACTGCTATGAGTATTGGCTACAGGGGGGTGGGGTGAATGGGTGAAATGCTTGTAAACTCAGTGAGGAATGTGAGGGAAACAAGGTATATTTGCTGGACGAATAACCTAGTTAGGAACTTTGTGTAATCTTGTATATGTTGTTAAGCAAGAGGTTATTGGCATGTTGGAATAAGGAAAGTTAGATTTTGTTGGAACAAATGAATTGTGGAATTTATAAATGATATCGCAGAGAAAAGTAAATTGCAGTTTGCATGTAATAGCAGTGTAATGGTATTTATTAATTAATGACTTTACATCATAAAGAAAGCATATTTAGTGTAATGCTTTGGGGGCACCACTAGGGGTAGTGTGTAGGAAGACATGTGCTTCTGGCAGTGACATCACAGGCCAGCCTACTTACACTGAATAAAACCAGATGGAGGAGAAAACTCTGTCTCTTTGCCTCTTTGCCTCTTTGCCTGTACCTGAAAGATGTAGTAGCAGCTCTGACTTAACCCCAGCCAAAGGGCTGGGGCCTTGTAAGTAAAATGTTGTGTAACATGTAGCAACCTTTTGTAAGTATTATGTTGTAGTTTTGTATTGTATCATAATTGTAGTAAATTGACATTCTGCTAGCATCTGTTTATTTGTTATAGTTATATTAAATATACATTTAATATTACAACGTTTTGTGTATTTTCTATCCACATATTCGACCATAATACCATGAATTATAAAAATATTAATGTTGTTCCGTATTGCTTAATTATTATGTATTAAGAGATTAATATTCATGTTTAGGTCACACCACAACATTTGGCGTAGTCGGCAGGATTATGCTTGAATATTGGGGAAAATATAAATGTTATGCATTTTGCTTAAATCATACTGTAAATTGTCTGTCTGTATACAAATGAATAAATGAATGATGATTTGGTTTTAATGGAATGAATGCAGATAGCAGATAGGGATTAGATATTTGTTTTTTAAGGTATCTCTTGTTGTAGAACATAGTGATGAATTATTGTGTTGCTTGTTACGTTTTACCAACCTTTGGTCATTTTTATATATAAAACAAAAAACAATTTTACTTTTTGTCTGACCATGTGGATTTTAATCCACCATTGACCACATGGTGTGAATGAGTTGAGGCCTAGTTTCATTGTTTGCTACCATTTGCATAGGAAAAACCTTTTCACTAAACTAGTTCACCAGGTTTTATTGCTAAATTTGACCCTGTTTGTGTACTAATTTACATTTGTTTGGCATTCATGGATTTGTCTAGTTGAAAAGAGATTTGGACAAATGTATTAAATTAGTAGTTAAGAAAAAGATACGTTTAGTAAAGCAGATTCAGTGAATAATAGATTTATGTGTGCGTATACACAGAATATTAGTATAAATATATATATGATTTTGACTCATGAAGGAGAGACCACCTTTTTAACAGCTGTGTGACCATGCTTTTCAGCTACAGCTGGGGGAGAATTTGTCCTTGTTGGGGGTGGGTAGTCTTGCCTGTATGAGAAAAAATAAACTGCATTGTTTTGTAAATGTAATTGCCTAAACTAATCAATTTGTGGAGTGTTTTTCAGCTTTATTATCCAGGACTAAGGAATTACTGGACATATGCAGGAACTGGTAACAAATGAACTGAAAAAATGGTAAAATAATTCCTTTGTCCTATTTAGTCTGAATATTTTAACAAGTTAGCATTTTTAACAAAGTAAGTGTAGGGGCTCAGATTAAGATTTATATTATTTTAGAAGCCATCTATAACTGATTTTAATATTTCCATGCTTTGAATTAGGGTGTATCTGCCTAGCGGGTGAACCTCCATAACGTGGGCTGTGATTTTAGTTACAGTAGCGGGTGGGGAACCTGAGCTAGGGGGTATTTAAACGTGTCCGGATAAGGGGGAGCATACCCAATAGTTGTTGTGCAGTTCTATCCTGTATTATTATTTGAAACCCTGTATTACTTATAAGTAGCGTTTTGTAACTTATTTGTAATTGTTTATATATATTGCTCTGGGAAAGGGATAGGCAAAATCTCTGAGAGACCAGGAAATATATTTAAAAAAGGGCGTATTACACTAGTGGTAGGGTGGCCTATCATGACCATAGAGACCCTTGGTGACTAGTTTTTGTTGTATATTGCCCTGGGAAGGGGATACGCTATTTAATAGAAATTCCTGAGAGACCAGGAAATATACAATAAGTGATACGTGAGTGTACTGGTTAAATTGCAGACATATTGGCCCAGAACCTTTAATCAAGCCGGAAAAGAGGCTGCTGTATGTTTGCTCCTCTATAATTTTGCGGGGGCGGTCACCCCCATGCGGAAAGCCACTGCCATCACAGGGTGGTTAGTTGTGCAGGCCCTTAGCCGCGAGGTGCAAGCATGTCCGTGGAAAGGCTAGAAATTAATAGGGAGTCACTCATAGCTGTCAGAAGTGTTGAACTTTGAGACATATTGACCTATATCCTTTCAGAGGCGGAAGAGGTGTTGTGGTTCACTCCTCTATAATTTAACCAAAGGGTGGAGAGTTATTAAACATGTTTAGGTTGGCTAGAAATGTGTTTCCTGAATTGCAGAGAAGATGCAGAAAGCAGCTATTAGCTGATTGTTTATTTTAAGAGCCGAGTAGAAAATTAAGAAAGTTACCTTGTTGAACAAATTGTTTATAAAATGAAAAACTGAAGGAATGTGTTTACATGTCTGTGTGTGTATATATATATATATATATATATATATATATATATATTCTAAGTAAAATATTTGCAGTATACGCTATAAGTGACTAGGAAAGTAATCCTGATCTGTTTCCTAACCTTTTCAGATGTAGCAGAAACCAGAGGTGGACATTGGAACACAGATAGAATATCAGATGGAGACCAGTGTTTAAATGTTGACCTTTGATGAGCTATTGAATGTTTTATTTTATTGTCCATTTAACATGTCTATGCTATGATTTTGTGCATACTATTCTCTTATTTCTAGTGATTGTATTGCAATTGAAACCCTTATGTATTATTGTTGTATGTATGCTTGCCTGGGAAAGGGGGGAATTGACCCATAGGGACCAGGGGGTATTTTTGTGTAAACCAAACTGGGGTGGGAGGGCTCTAACGAGGGAATCCCATTGTCCAGTAGGTGCTTGATTTGTGTCTGTGTAAAGTGCATGAGTGGTTGCAGTTAAAAAAAAAAACCAAAATACGGAAGAATGATAAGAGGGATAAGAGAAAGTAGGCATTTTGGGTTATCTATACATGTTTAAATAGAAGGGTGGTAAATAGGAATGTAATTGTTTTGGTTAATGTTTAGATTAAATTGGTTAAATACAGCAGTGATAACGAGTGTTTAGATTAAATTGGTAAATGCAGCAGTAATAACGAGTGTTTGGGTTAAATTGGTAGATACAGCAGTGATATTGTGTTTATCTGTGAATCAGGAGTGTGCTGGATGTGAAGAGAGGTGTGTAGGTATTTATCCAAATGCCATAGGAAAAAATATGGTTAAGACACCACAATCAAATGGTACTTGTGAAGATTGGCACAGTTATTATTTATGTTTGTGTTCGTCATTGCCTGTGTTTTCATTCAAGAACTTTCAAGCAAGGATATTTTAAGCAGAAGAAGAAGAAGCACTGGACACTATGCTCAACTGTTGCTGTAAGGAGAAAAAATATTGCAGCTAAGAGTGGTGAGAGTCGGAACAAATGCATCAGGAGCAGGACACTGTTACGTCAAGGTGGTTAATGGTATAAAGAAAGAAAAATCAAAACAATGTGACCACAAACACACAAAAGTCCTTGATCACATGAACTGTTTCATTCATCCCTGTCTCCATGCGTATGTTCTATGAGACTGTCGAAGAATAGAGTATCCAGTTTCCAGGACTAATGTTTCTGAAAATTCCAGGCACACAGACCAGCCAAAGGCTACAGAAATCGAGTCGGTCTGTGCCATGATTAATAGGTGTTATGAGTTTGTGGTGTCTAATACTATATTAAGCTCCAAAACACATCCTCACATGAACACAATATCATTGGTTAATCTAATAAAACATGGTTTGAGTTGTTCATTATTATAAGGGTGGGTATGTGCCTATTTCCCAACTGGTAATGCATGTGCTCAATGGTGAACATTTATATAAGCAATAAAATGTTAATGGGTAATAATTAATGGGTAAATGGGTATCGTTCTTCAAAAGGTGGGTTTTGTTGTAGGGCAGGTAGTGTTAAAATGGGGAAGATTCACAATTTACTGGTTTTATAAATGCTTGTTTTATGACATAAGTCAAAGGGTGGTTTGTAATGGTATTTATTAATTAATGACTTTACATCATAAAGAAAGCATATTTAGTGTAATGCTTTGGGGGCACCACTAGGGGTAGTGTGTAGGAAGACATGTGCTTCTGGCAGTGACATCACAGGCCAGCCTACTTACACTGAATAAAACCAGATGGAGGAGAAAACTCTTTCTCTTTTTGCCTGTACCTGAAAGATGTAGTAGCAGCTCTGACTTAACCCCAGCCAAAGGGCTGGGGCCTTGTAAGTAAAATGTTGTGTAACATGTAGCAACCTTTTGTAAGTATTATGTTGTAGTTTTGTATTGTATCATAATTGTAGTAAATTGACATTCTGCTAGCATCTGTTTATTTGTTATAGTTATATTAAATATACATTTAATATTACAACGTTTTGTGTATTTTCTATCCACATATTCGACCATAATACCATGAATTATAAAAATATTAATGTTGTTCCGTATTGCTTAATTATTATGTATTAAGAGATTAATATTCATGTTTAGGTCACACCACAACATTGCTATTCAGATGCTGTTTTGTGGCAATATTTATACACACAATGTGAAATTGCCAATAGTGAAATTGACAAGAAATTGTTTGTTAATAAGAAAAAAAAAAAACAAAAGATCAGAAATGTTATGAAACTAGTCTGTACTTACAATGCATTGATTTGTAAACGAAATACAGGTAAAGACAATTTAGAATCAGCAGAAAAAGAAGTAGATTTGAATGGGTTAACAGAAGACAAATCAGATTTAAATGAACAGTGTAACAATGTAACAGAGAGAACATTGTTAGAAAAAGTCTGTGAATTAGAGGATAGAGTTGAATTAAGAAATGATTTTAGTTGCCAGTTTAGAAATGAAGTTAAGCAAGTGTGTGTTAATACAAGAAAAATACAGACACAGAATCTAATCCCAGAACCAATAGATACTGAAAATGTATCCTCACAGAGTGATTTGCAGAAATATAAATTTCAAGACAGAGCTGCAAAACTTAATTTGAAAATACATGAACAATTAATGAAAATTGTGAAATGTATTCCAGTTTATGACACGTCAGTGGATGCATTTACTAATGCTGGAATGTTTGAGTCAAATGTGGACAAATACAGCCTAAATGACGAACAAAGGAATAGATTGTTTAAAATATGGCTGCCGACTCAAATGGCATGTAGACTGACCACGCTTGTAAAATTTCAGGACAATGATAAAATAATATATGGAAATTAGGGGACAGACAAGCAATGCAGCATAACACAGAAAGTTATAAGAATCAGATAACTTCAAGAGATTTGATCAGTTTAGGGAATGAGCATGGATATGTCTCCCAACAAATGTACACAGGCTGATTCCAGAATTAAGAACAGCACAAGAATAGAGATCTATGTCAGTTTATTGTTTTAAATGAATTGTTAGTCTGTACTGTCTTTCATTGTTTTTATATGTGTTATAAGAAAGTATTAGGTTAATTAAAATAAAAATTTAAATCAAGTTTGCACATATGGCAGAATGAAATACACTAATGTAGCAGTGAGGAACATGCAATGTTATATTGGGTGTATGCAATTATATAGTAACTCCAATCATTTTACAGAAGAAAAAACAATAGATTTATTCTTTGTTGCTTCTGAGGTTGATTTAAAATCTTTGATTTAATTCATGAGAATGAGATTTTAATATCATGACTGATAATGGATTAATGTATATTGCAACGCCTGGACATACACATGGTTTGGATATACTGAAGACAAAAGGAATAATATATGGGAATGGATAAGGCTGATTTCCCCCTATTGACAGCCACGCCTACTCCTAAAGTAACATCGCGTACATCCTTACTATGCCCTTTTACTGTAGAATTTCCCGAATCCTAATGACCCATTTCACTACATGGTGTGACTTGTTTAAGCCTAAGATAAATTGGCTGATCAGGCTACCTGTATTAACAATGTCATCAACGATGAGTTAGCATCTGTGGAGAAGCATCACTTCAGGTTGTCCCAAATTTTCTTTTAACTTAAGTTTTAGTACATAGTAAGGCCCATGCCCAATAACTATATGCAGCCTTGTATAGCAGGCCACATGACATCTATTTGTACCAAGCAAGGCCTGCCTGACTCCTCATTCCTGTCTAACATTGTTGTCTCCTGCATAAGTGTAGATGGCTCTCCTTGGAGTAGCCTGTTAACTAAGCCTTGCTTTGTGGTTACCTTCACCTGTCCAATTAATCTGCTAGGTGCAGATGTCCTTCCCCCACTTGCAGGCCCCTATCACCTTATTATTTATTTTGTTCCACACAGTGAAACCTGACCAAGAGGCAAGGGTCCTAGCTAGTTCCCCCAATACCTTTACCTGAATTATACAGGCCCCAAAGCCTGTCCAAGCTCTTACTATTCCCTAACAGGTTAAGGCTCTGGTGTCGAATGTTGCCCTGGTTACCTGAGACTTTCCATGCAATATCCCACCTCTCCTTGTGATGGACGAATTCTGTGCAGGATAATGTCACCCTGCAGGGATGATACTCTATTTACCTGGCCACTCTTCTGCCACTTCCCAAGGGGGGAAATGATAAGACACTGACTATTATTTTTTTTTAGCCTTTTTCTTATGTTCTGTTCCGGATTTGCTGTCACTACAGTGGACCAAGTATCTCACCTCAACAATGTCTGCACAAGAAGCTGAGCTATAGACTCCCATCACACCATGCAAGATCTCTGAAGGAAGACTGAACTCAGAGGAAGCATGTGGCAGCTCTCTGGCTGACTAAGTTGTTCAAAAAGTTGTAAGTGCACTAAGGGAAGTGGACAGAAAAGTGTCTGCTGAAGAAACTCCCATATTCACCATGTAAGATCCTACCCACAGACATCAAGCTCCCGAAGGAATAACAAGCAAGCTACTGACCCTGGAAAGAAAGAAAAAACAAACAAACCACAAGCTGGAAACAGAAAGGGGCAACTCTTAAAGACAGGCTGTACTTCAACAATCTCAAGTTATACTTGCCCAAGAACATATACTCAGCAGTGGTCCAGTGGGCCTACGGAGCATCTGTCCAGAACCCTCATGAACTCTTTTGATCAATAAATACTCTGAAGTACCAGGAATTGCCTCTCTGACCAACAGTTACTGTAAATCTTGTGCCATTTGTGCCAAGGGCAACTCAAGAAGAATGGATGAAAGCCCCAAGCATCTAGCCAAACCTCATTATCTCTTCCAGAGGAGTCAAGTCGCCAGAATGCCAAAGAATGGCTGATTCAAATATGCACTAATTATAGCAGACATGTTTTCAGGATGGCCAGAGGCCTATCCAGCCACCAAAGTGATAACCAAGACCACATGCTGAGTAGTGCACCGTGAAAGATACAGAGATCACCCCGTGGGTTCATCATTCCAGAATCAAGCCTGCCTCTGCATCATGTGAAGTAACATTTGTTGATCTTGACAACCCTTTTTGAAACTCCATTCTTAGAGAACAAAGATACTTGTTGAAAATAAATAAATAAATATCAACAAGTGGGTGTTTTGATGGCCATAATAATGCCTGACCACCTGCCATCGATGGAAAGCTGAATACCCCAAAAGGGGACCTCGTGAAACTAAAGAGAAACAAACATACTCCTTACCCTGCAGCCCTCACGTCTGAGGTGCCATACGCACAGTCAAAGCTTCTTCAAGATCATCTGCTTATCTTGAGTTTGTGGTGATATTAATATTGAATGTTTAAATGATCTGAATCTGCCAGTACTAGGGTAGCATGAGACAAGATTTCTAAGAATAAGTAAATGTGCCCTAGCCTAGGTTATTATGTCCATACACATAACACATGACAATCCCCAAGGTACTCTTGACACACCTCATTCATGCTTCAGGACAAAAAGGAGTACCCCTATAAAGGGTGGTTTTACCCACACATATATATATATATGTATATTAATGCCATAGGGGTGTCAAGGGGGGTACCAAATAATTTTAAGGTAAGAAACTAAGTTTGAATCTATTCTCCCAAGCATTACGGCTAATAAAATCTGAATTGGAAGGGAAGAGGTTTATACAATAAACAGGAGACCTTTTTCTTACAGGACATGTATGACTCAGCTGAATGGGTAGGTGCCACGCACATGACTGTTAATCCCCTCAAACCACACATTAGGACTTTAAAAGACATGGTAGTCATCCCATATTTGAGGATAAGAGGGCTGTAGAGACAGGTTTCTCTGACACTAACTTGTGACTTGAATGGATGAAATACAATGCTACTAAACATAACAAGTCTAACTGCTATGTCTGCAGAGGAGCGAGGCCTCACCCAGGTACAGTATCCCTGAACCTTCCTCCGGATATGAAGTATGCGTTTTAAGTCTCTACACTGTATTTAAACCTAAGCGGTCAGCATGCGAGTCATGGAAACTTAATACCCAATCATTACTAAAAATATTAACCCAGACGAAGGCATTACTATATAGCCCGGGAACTATACTTGTTATGGGATATATGGTGGGATAGGGCGGTTACAAACTATCTCTCAGATGACCTTCCAGAATAGAATAAGCTTGGAAATGATTTTAGCAGAAAAAGGGAGAGTATGTAAAATACTCCCAGACACCATGACATGCTGTACCTATATTCCAGATAATACAGGCCCTAATGGTAAGGTAACGTTGGCAATAGAAAAGTTAAAGAGTTTGTCCAATGAACTGAAACGAAATTCTGGGGCCACAGATCCATGGGAAAGATGGTTTGGATGGATGTCTGGATGGCAAGGTGCTTTGGCCCAAATAGGTGTTGCCATTTTAATAACGATAATCATCCTCGCTCTTCTTGTTTGTTGTGTGTTACCCTGTCTTAAGAAATGCCTACAAAAGACAGTTGATCAGACAATCGACCAGACCACCCCGACCTTCCTTCACCAAGAGATTGACGACATCGACCTTGATACACCACATACACCCTTACAGTCCCACCGCACTAAATCAACAGCTACTTCCTCTTAAGGACATTTAGGGATAGCGTCTGTCTCTACGGGCAGAAGTCTGCCGCGGGAGAAGTAGTGGACAAGCTGCTATGGGGTACCCGCGCAGTGAAGTGTTCGAGGCCTGTTCAGACAGATGTGCAAGATAGCCTTTTGTTATTTTTCTATAGGGACAGTATTAGAATGAGAGATAGTAGTTTTAGTAAAAATTGCCATTTTAAGGGGGGACTGTTATGGACAGATGAATTAAAATAAAATGGCTATTTACTAATGTCTATTTATTCTCTGTTCACTATGTTAAAACTGGCTTCTAGAGTAAATATTCCCTTCCCCCCCTACAATGTGGTCAGCTGCTGTTTACTATGTAA